CCATTACAATTCTTCATTGCATAATAAATATGCGTCTTGGTGCACTTCACTGTCAAAACAATGGAATTCATTCTTAGAACGCTTTTTTAACTTCAACTAACAACGGTATAATGCATAAGATTTTCACCACAAAAGTTACTCAGGATCCAGTGGATGATAATAAAATACAGACAGGCCACATCACAAGTAAACTTTATGTAAATAACTTTCTGCACAGGCATGTCTCCTCAAATGGAAAATTACCTTTGTCTGACAACTCTGCAAGCCAAGACCTCTCTGAGTCCCTAACAAGCCTACTGGCAACCTTTTTGATGGCCTTCTTGACACCCTTCCCAACATTAGTGAGTAAAGGAAAACAAGAACTACCATTAATTATCACAGAGACTAAAGCAGTACATAGCTACTAGCTTGATGCAGATTACAGGTTAATCCATACCAGTGAAATATAGTACTTTGGTTGGTGACCTACCATGCCAGCTGTCATATGAGTTTCTGATCCCTTTGGTTGCTAGCCACTGCCTCAATGCCGGCACATGCTCATGTGCAACTTCACTGACATGTTGACCTACAGGTGCTGCAAAGGACAGTACATAAGTGGGTGCCAAGAAAAACATTATAGGGCTTTGGGCTTCATAAAACACACAGAACGTAAATGTGTGGAACAAGCTGTATTTGCATAAGATTTGCATAAGAAATCAGTGTGAGAATTCCTCCTTGCTATGGGTGAAAGGTGACAGGTTCAGAAAAATTGAGTCTCCCAATACCTTGGAGTCACACATTAATGTTAAGATAAATCCTGGGAAGAAATGTCAGTACTGTGTTCATTTTGGGCGAGCCAAAAATATTCTACTTCTAACAATGAAGTGCTTATAATTTTTGGGTATATATAGTGCACAGCCAAAACAACATTGCAACTTACCAAGAGCTGTTAGAGAATCTACCACTGCTTTAGTCATGGGTACTTCTCGTGATGTCTTCTTTATCCCAATTCAGGCAATAAATTACCCTCTTGTTTCTGAAAAAGAGATGGCAGAGAATTATCAACAATGCCACATACTAAGTTTCATTCAAGCAGAGATAGTTATAGTGCAAAGTCATCATCGGAGGGCATTATTCGCTTGTTTTTCGTTGTTTTTTTTGTCCAATTGCCGACTTGCAACGTTCTATAGTGAAGTTAAAAATCGTCGGTACCGCGTCTTTCTTGACTACAAGTTTACGAAGCTGAAAGAGAGTCCCAACAAACTCCTTACTACAAGATTTAGTTCGAAGCTGTCTTCGGTAAAGTGTTTTACACAAACGCGCGAACACTTCGAGGGAATAAAGCATTCTCTTTTCATTTTTATAAGCCATTCTCCTTTAAGTTTTCGGTCCTGGGGGAACTTGAAAGTGCTAACCTTTGATTTTGAGTGGTTTTCCTTTGAAGTTCACTGAGAACTTGAAACCAAAGCAGTTTCAAATTTCCCGCATTTCTTGAGCTCACCAACAGTGACGTCACAAGTTTTATTTCCGACAATTGTTCGACAATTTTCCCGACCGCTCTACGATTATGAAGGATAAAAAACAATGATGTTAACTTTCCAATATTTCCGCAATGCTTCTTCCAATTCGTTTGAAACTTCAGAATATGTTTATTTTATACTTAATGAACACACTGAACTCAAATGGAAAAAGTGTCTAAATTTTGGTTCATTTGACCTTTAAAAGAACACTGAGTTAATTAAAGAGCGCTTTTCACTTCAGTGTCAAAAGTAATCCTCATTAGCTTTGGTTACATTAATACGCTTTGCGATTGGCTTAAAAATATCCTACCACTTTCTCATCCAGTCGGACTTGAAACCAAAAGTTAAACCACTCGCGACTTGCTCATACACGTTTTGCCGCGTCTTGCGTCAGCCACATGTATGTGATTCGAGTCTTGATTGGTTTACTGGATTGTCAGTATTCTCCCTGATTTGCCCGTGATTACTTTGGTTGTGGTCACTTATAAACACTCAATTGAAAACCGCTCTTATAATCAGTTAGATAAATAGTTATTCTGATTCGACCCTAGTCACCTTTTAGTGGACGTCTGAGGACGAGTCAGATCAG